GGTAGCATTAGATGCCTCTCCAAAAGCTATCACTGCAACTTCTTTTTACAGCCGCCGCCTACTCCGTAGAAGTATTGTATGCAACCGCATCATATCAAGTGTTTGCGTACCATAATTGGTTTTATCGAAACGCGGCAACCTTTCACTCCACTTTGAATACATGGCGAAGTGTGAATTTTAGATGGAGTCTTGTTGATTTTAATCACCTTACCCAAAGGAGTCTAGTGTCAAAGTTTACTAGGTCTTACCGTGCTTGTCGTGGGAAACCTGATCAGTTTTTTTCCAAGGATTGAAAGTTTTTATAGCAAGTAAGTGTCCTCAGCAATTGAACCTTGCTGTCTTTTGATATCTGAATGTCTTTTTCACTCAAAATTTGGAGGGAAGGGCGTTATGTACCGAGTGCTCTTCTGTGGCGAAGTGGGTCTAGTTGAGGCGCGTCCACGTAGAGTGGCACCACCATTGAGTTTTGAGGATTGCTTCATCCAATATCGGGACATAAAGCTGACTGAGGAAATGGGAAGAGGTAACATTGGCGTGGTCTACCCAGGTTATATACTCAGCATGGAGGTGGCGGTGAAGAAGAGTCTTAACCTCACAAAAGACCGTGCCCTCCGTGAGGAGGTAGAATTAATGCATAAGCTTTTACATCGACGCTTCGTGAGCTTTCTCGGTTTCTGTTGTAACGCGCCTGACGACAGGGTCCTCATCATCACTGAATACACACTCAATGGCTCCCTTCGCGACTACCTTAGAAGGGCTGATAAAAGATTTTTGGACTACCGTCAACTCATCAGCATTATTGATCATATTGGTGCTCACTATCTCTCCACTCGTTTTTTTAGTCGTTTTATCAATTGGCAATAATCTCATCAAAATTGGTAATACCAAACATTATTTCACACGAAGCTTTGCATGACAAGCCATGTCGGTAGCCTCAGGTGGGTATTTATTGAGATGTTATTGTCTTCAAAGACTCGGTGTGGTACTTTTCATTCACACAAACACATACGCACCTTGCTGAGGAACACGTCATTTGAGCCAACGTCTTCTACACCTTGCACATGCTTTATCATGATAATAAGATTGTTAACAGAGCTATTACTCACTCAGTATACTAATGTGACTGGATATTGGCCCGAGTTTATGCATGCCTTTGAGATGCCTACCGCTTCCATGTAACGCATCCAGTCTGCCTTAACTACAGTAGCGGAATACTTGGGAATCCGACTCCTCATGATCCTATTTGATTGACAATGAGCCCTTTTAATGCTCCATTCTCTAATGCAGCGACCTCGATTCAAACTCACCGCATCCCATTTCGGCATCAATGGTGAGGTTTTAAAGTTAAAAGTTGTTGACAGTGCAACACAATATGTTTTCGTCTCTGTCCAGGAATATTGTGATGAGATAATATATCGCAGGAAGCTATAGTCATTTTAACAAACCTCTCATAACAACTCCCTTCTAACTTTGTTAAGGGTCTTGTGCGAAAGCTGAGATAACGGATGCACATATCTTTGTGATCTTTGTAAAGTAGCAAAAGAAGTGGTTATTTGGGTGCAGAGGCGCACACAGTTAACGGAGGCAAAAGGAATTGACCGTCACAGATTCCATTTCAATATGGAGACTCGTAGGCAAGAAGAATGGGAAGCTGATGCGACTACCGAATTCAAAGGTGATCTCCGTGTTATTGTTTTGCTTTTTAAGCACTTCCTACATTGTACCTTCCTGATGTCAATTGCAGTATTTCATGGAGTAATAGACCAACTATTTGAGCTTGCATAATCATTCTTTCCAAATGCTTTTCGCATTTGATGTGAATTTCAACCAGAGTTCCTTTTTATTGCCTCTTATGAGTACCACAAACGAAATTAATCTAAACAACTCACACCCTATAAGTTTACCTGCCTCGACTATTCCAGGAAACAGAATGTAATCACTTTCCCATCTCCTCACTTCACTTATCAGTACTAGATGCAACCCGCAATGGAAGGGTGGGTAAAACATTTTCTTTTGTCGCCAATATTTTGTTTCTCAAGCCTTGTCATCACTTAAAATGCATAAAATCTACCCAGGAGGCCACATATTGCATAGTATTAAATACTATACTTATATTTTCTTTGACCAAACGTCTAGGTGGTGGAAGGCATGGTGCGCCTTGAGAAAATGGGTGTGATTCACAGATTTACGTGCAACTAACGTGCTTGTTGGTGAGGATGGCTCTGTGAAGATCGCCGACTTTGGACTAACCAGAATTACAGATTTCGACCAGAACTTTACTGACTGTGAGCTTACGTGTATCTTCACTTTATGTTCTTTGCTTGATGGCTTTAGTTTCAACTCAAATCAGCTGTTTTGTAATTAAAATGCAATGTTGTATTTTATCCTTGTGTTGGCTAGTAATGAACCTTATTTTTATTGCCACTATCCTTTCCTCCGAGGTTCTTTTTCGTTGCCATGGACCGCGTCTGAAGCCAAGAATGATCACAAGCCCAACACCAAAGCCGATGTCTGGTCTTTTGGTGTTTTTATGTTCGAAATTCTAACTTGTTGAGAGACGCCCTACAAGAGTAGGTCGTTTTGCTTCAATCTCGTGAATCCCTTATCGCAATCTATTTCATTCCGAATTCTCCATCACAATTCATTTTTAGATTGTAAATGCGAACACTTGCAGGATTTTCTTACAAGGAGTGGATGTCTTCTTTCTCCAAGTACAGAGAGTTTTCAATGTGATTCATTGGTTTATGGTATAATGAATTCCTGTTGGGAGATACAGCCTGAACAGAGATCCTCATTTAAGGAAATTAGTCATGAGATTGAGCAATACATCATTTCTAAAGAGGGCTCATACGATGCGTGTTTTGAACATATCTTGTGCAAGCGGTTAAATCCGTTATTCATTCATGTTTTTAGAGGTTCGATCGAGTATAAAACATGTTTAGCTTCCAGAACTAGTGTGTATTTAGTCTCTTTGTTTTGGTTCAATAAAGGTCCAGAGGTACTATAGAGCAGTCTGTCATGATTACAAGCTTTCGTAAAAAATTAAGATGGAATGGAAGCTGTCAACAACTCCATTCCCTCCTCCAACAATTAAGCTGGAGTAAATATTAGTTTAGCTACCTATATTTTACAAATTATCATAATCTGGTGGAAGGCACGAGACGATTGCCTAATCCGCTATGCATTTGAATCAGAATGAACCTCAGCTGAAGTTCTGCAGTCCTTGCACGTACGTCTTGCACGATGTCTTGCAAGAGTTGAGCGTCGAAATGTGTTATGTCTGTTCTTATAGCTAAGTCAACACCAGAACAGAATTTTTCTCAAACTTAGTCTAACAATGGCGTTTGATGTGCACGTAATCTCCGAATAAATTTTGATGCAGTTGCAACACACATTGGTGTCATGTTTGATTCCTGTTAGACACTTAATCGAGGCAATCTTGTTAATTTTGAAAATCTGAGGGAATCGAATTGTTGGCTGACGCTTGCTATCGAAACGCATTTTCATCCGATTCTCCAAGGTATCCGCCTCGCTAGTTCGCATAAGTGGAGTAGCTGTAAAAAAAGTCTGCTTTTTCCGCCTAAAAATTATAATAAGTTTTAGGCTGTGAAAATCTAAAGCAGATATTTTCTTACCCAAATTAGCAAGTCTTCTGTAAAGCACAATTTCACGCAACCAGCTCTTACGGAGTTGTAAGAAGTGCGGATCCCAGATGCATGTGACGTCAGCACTGAATGAATTGAGAGCTGCATCCATATGTAGACAAAGGATTTCTTTAAATCATTTGAAGCATACAGCTAAGAAGACATACCATTTTTCATCAGCTGTGTCATCAACTTTCCTTAAGGTCTTCCTTAAAATGCCTTCTCGAAGTCGCATCTGGGAAGTAAGGGAAGATTGGTAGCTTGGCGACAGGATTATTGCTTGTTTATTACTGTAGATAGGACCAAATAATTCGTCGCTGCAATGGATTAATACATAAGCGTGAGTCAATTTTATAAAGCTTCATATAACGAGTTTTGTTTCATTTTATGACCTAGTACAACGTGTCTTAATTCTCTTTCCTTCATTGCTACGTACTAATCTGCAGCAGCAAAGATGTTAAATAGACGAAAGATATTTTATTTTTTAATCTTGAGCTAAGTGTTATTAAGTTTGGCTAACGAATATTCAAAAGAAATTGCTTTTGGAATGATTTTAAGCGAGTGCTTGAAGAGACATTAGAGGTAGT